TATATATATATATATAAATATGGGTGTTAGTTGTGAAACCCTTCTTTACCTTCCAGAGACCACCGGCAGCTTGGCTCCTATCCATATGGCCTACCAGAGCTCAGAGATGCCGAAACTCACGAGCTCTCCCTAATCCGCCCCCTAACCATTCGATTACAATCTTGCTCGTTTCTTCCTCCTTCCGGAATCCACTTCTAGGCTTTCTTCTTCATTCCCACCAGTCTTAATCTCCCAGTTTTGGCCCAAAACCACCTTCTTCCTGAACGAACACTCCCGAAACATTCGCGATAGGAGCTAGCGGGGGAAGCAACGACGGTATTTCGGCGTACAGAGACCACCGAAACTCCTATCTTTCTCCTCTATCCGCTCCGCTCCTAGCCGGAACCATTGAGGAAGGTAAGGCTGTTCGCGCCATTCTTTCTCTTCGTTCTTCCCAGATTTACTAAATTCGCAGAGCAGCGGGATTTAGTTAATCCGGGATTTACGACCGAATCAAATCCGCCTCTTTATTTTGTTCAAGCTGACCGTCGCAAGATTTAGCCTAAATCCATGTTAAATCCTGGTATAATTGCGTTGCCAGACAGCTTCTTAGGGTTTCTTCTTAACCAAAATTCTCGTGCCCATTCACGAGTTTAATGTCAGATTAATTCCACACGTGGGTTTTGTAGCTTTTGCATTGAAAACCTGGCTGTCACCCAAGGACTTGGATCTTTAAGTTGCATTCCGTTCGATTGAGTGGAAGCTATAGTTTGGTGTTTAGATATGTACCGGAGCGTCGTCACGCACGGAGAAATGCCGACTGAAAGCGTTGACGGCGGCGCGGTGGCGCTCGATCAGGTGCCCAGTTGGAATGACACGGATCAGAGATCTTCTTTCCTTCATGGACCTGGAGATTCTTGCTCGCCATTGTATTTTTCAGATCCCCTGACTTCTTCTTCCGGAGCGAGCTCGGGTATTGATGGCATGGTGTCGAGGTTTCCGGTCGACCACGATATTAATGCAAGGATATATCTATGGCGAGGAAACCCTTGGAATCTCGAGGTTGATGCTGTTGTCAATTCCACCAATGAGGTGAGTCTGCTTGTTTTTGCTTGTGGTGATTTATCCCGTGGTGATGAAGAATTGTTTTATTTTAGGTAGTTTGATGATGTGTTTGTTTGTTAAGTAGAGTTTGGATGAAGCACATAGCAGTCCCGGTTTGCATGCTGCTGCTGGGCCAGGTCTCGCAGAGGAATGCGCTTCACTCGTATGTGTGCTTTTTTTTTTTTTTTTTTTTGGAAATTTACATACATAGCACACAATTCTTATTTACATATCTCACAACTTAACTTTCATATTCACATACATTGTATTTTGTTGCTTTAAACCTATGCATTAAAAGGTGTATTCTACTTTTTAAAAGTGATAATAGTGCTGTTTTTGATGTGATATTAAAGATTTGAATGCTATGGGTGTACATGTGGAAGTTTAGGCGTGAGATATGTAAATGCATAGGAAATGTGTGCTACGTATGTAAATGCCCTTTTTGTGGGAGATTTATTTGGGGAGTGAAGCTTTATTGTTAATATAATTTAATTTAATTTCGTTTAGGTAGAAATGAGTTTTAATGTGAAGAAGTGGCTCACAATATTTGTTGCAGGGAGGCTGTCGAACTGGAATGGCAAAGATGACTAATGCTTATGATCTCCCAGCCAGGTATGTCCTGGAACTTCATTGTTTTGATCTTTGTTTTTATTTATACTTTGCACTTTTGCTTACATCCAATCTTAATTTATTTTGTCCTTTTTATTACTCTGAGATTTTGTTTGATATTTGATACGTGAAAATGCTATGTTGAGAGAGAGGGAGGGAGGGAGGGAGGGAGGGAGAGAGGGGGAAAGAGAGATAGACAGGGGGTTAATAGCTCCATGTAACCATGTGTTGCAATCCCACCCCTGCAAAAAAATAAAAAATAAAAATAAAAGATAAAATATGCGTACATACTGATGGTGTTATTTTTTGATGTGACATTAAAGATTTAAGTGGTATTCTTGTAAATTTGAATGCTTAGGTGTTAGATATGTAAATATATAAAAATTGTGTGGTATGTATTGAAAGGCCAAAAAAAAGGGATTGTAAGTGTGGTAGTGTAGTATTTCTTTTGAAATGCTGATAGCATACCATTTGTAAGGGACTACACTCATTTTATGAATGTGCATGGTTTCTGTGATTCAAATATGGATTTAGGAAGATAAATATTATTATCAAATTATGTTTATATGTGCTTCAAATTATGTTTATATTATTCTTTTCGTACAATTGTGATTTTGCAATGGGGTTGCCATCACTAAATTTCAACATATTATAGTTTTTTTCTTTAGGATATTTAAAAAAAAAAATCCATTTTTTAGTCACTATTGAGATGTTTATTTGGTATTGCATGCAGCCATCTTGAATTTGTCTGTTGAATATCTCATTTACGAGATTCTGTTTACTTGTGCTGTTCCCGTGGTACACAAATATTTTGTTTGACAATATTAATTTAAGTTAACTGATATTGAAGGAAAATTATCCACACCGTTGGCCCAAAATATGCTGTTAAGTATCATACTGCTGCAGAAAATGCATTGAGCCATTGCTACCGTTCTTGCTTGGAGCTTCTTATTGAAAGCAGTCTTCAGAGGTTGATTTCGTGAACTTATAGAAATGTCAAATTGTTTTGAAAATTTTGACTACAAATACAGGTAATAATATCTGTGTGATGCAGCATTGCTATGGGATGTATATATACGGAAGCAAAAGGTTATCCTCGAGAACCCGCCGCCCATGTTGCAATAAGTGAGTAGTGGAAATAATTTAAATATAAGTTATCTTTGCTTGTACATTTAAATATGCTTTTTTCTTTTGGGGCACCTATACTTCAATTTTTTACATATATTCCACCTTACCTATGCATGAAAAAGTGCATTTAACTTTTTAGAAGTTAATATGGTGGTACTTTTGATGTGATACAAAAGATTTGAGTGGTATAAATGTAATTAGCAAAGTTTAGGTGATAGATACGTAAATATGTAGGAATTGGGTGCTATGTGTGTGAGTGCCCTTTTTTTTCTCAATTAAGTCGTCTTCTTTTTAAAATTGAATTCATTTCTAACTATGGCCAGGGACTGTCAGGCGTTTCCTGGAAAAGCAAAAGGATAAAATAACTGCTGTTGTCTTTTGTACTTCTACTTCATCTGATACAGAGATATACAAGAGGTACAGTCGTTGGCATGCCAAGTTATTATAAATGAGTTATATTGTACATATAAAAGGTAGGGAAATTTACACATGTAGCATACAATTCTTATGTTTTTACTTATCTCACACCTCAACTTTCATAATTACATACATAGCACTTTGGTGCTTTAAACATATGCATGAAAATGTGTATTTCACTTTTGTAAAGTGGTAATAGTACTATTTTTGATGTGATATTAAAGATTTGAGTGTTATGTGTATAACTATGAAAGTTAGGTGTGCAATATGTAAATACATAAGAATTGTGTGCTATGTATGTAAATGCCCCTAACAGGTATGATGGCGACAAGTTCTGAATATGAGGTATAGATTGGCTTTCAAAACCTCGTTAAGAGCATGATGAAAGACATTTGCTGTTCTCTGTTTATCCAATTTCTGAAATTCCAAATCTGTTTTGCAGATTGCTTCCTTTATACTTTCCCCGAGATAAGCATGAAGAAGAGTTAGCTATATCAAAGCTTCCAGCAGATGTTGGCGATGAAAATGGTGAAACTGTAATAGATGAGAGAAAAATTAGAATTAAACCCCTACCAGTGCTGTCATCTTCTACAACAGACTCATCTACAGCCTCAGTTGATATTCCTATTAATGATTCCGATTTAACTCTAAGACGGTTAGTTCAGACTTAAGGCTAGTTTTAATTCCAGTGTTTTTTTTTTCAATTGGTGTGTATGTTGATCTTTATCTCATTAAAACTTAAGGCTAGTTTTAATTCCAGTGTTTTTTTTTTTCAATTGGTGTGTGTGTTGATCTTTATATCATTAAATGTCATGCAAAGAAGCTAAGGTGAAAAAAAAAAAAAGAAAAAAGAAAAAAGAAGAAAGAAACAGCATTGATAAAGTAATCTGTTAGACTTATTTCAAGCCCTTGTTTTTTACTTTTATTCAAGAATATTGATAAAGCTCTTATCATTCTAATGTACCAGCTTACTTCCTGTTAAAAAAATGAGTTCCAAGTGGACTTCTATGCTTCAAGAACAGCACTTACGTTGATATTTAATCTGAATTTATACTTTGATTAAAATGTTAAATTAGGTTTTCTAACATGGAAAGAAACATGTAAGGTGTTTGGTATGCTCACTCTCAAGTGATATTGTCTAGATTATTTTCTACAAGATCGGGTTTATTTATTTATTTATTTTTGGAGGGTATTTTGGGGCATGTCATCCTGCTCACTAGAAATGGACATACTTTTATGTAGTTATGATTGATCATAAGGCATTATATTCAGAAATTTGCTGTTGTATTGATTGAAGTTTGGTATGTTAGCTCGGGGTGCATAAGTGTTGTGATGTTTGTGAGCTAAATATAAGAGAGAATTGATTTGAACATATGTTAAAGGCTATAAACTCTTACACATTTGAATTATGGTCAATTTATATTTTAGTCATTTTTTTTTGGCTTTCTTCATTGTTCATGTAAGCTGCATTAGGGCCTAGGTTTTTCTAATACAATTATATAATGCAATTCATAAAATCATGCATGAGATCAAAATTTGCAATTCACAAACTATTAATCTAAATAATTATTCATCTATTTTTTATCAAAATAAGAAAATGGTAAATTTATGCAAATTTTATGGCTTCTTAATATAAATTCAGTCATACGAGTACAAGGTGATAGCTTTATCTAAAAGTCTGTAGTCACCTCGTGCGCTTCACTGGAATGTATTTCATCCAATAACACTCAATCGAAGAGAGCAAAATATTCAGAGAAACTTGTTATTGAAACTTATCCCTTTTACAGGACTTAGTCTCTTAGATATCTCTTTTCACAGTATTTCTCTAATTTCCATTAGGTAGAATTAACTGCTTAAAGCATTGATTGCACAAAATAACACTTGATGAAGATTTGTAACCAGCAAATTCAACTACAAATGACAGGATTAGCTGTAAATTGCTTAGTTGTGGTGCCACCTTGCTACAATACCCAAGGAACTGAATCCATATAATTAGTTCACCAATGACATCGATAAAGCTAAACAAGAATTTTTTCATTAAAATTAATAAAATAACCAATGGTTGTAACTAACAAAGAACAAAACAAAGAATTTGTGTGTTATTTAAACCAAGCCAGCACAAGGACTGAAATTAAATTTGTGGAAGGCGAACAAATTAGAGAACATGACCCATTTCATAAGACTTATTATAGGCTTGGTTGGTTGGAATGAATTGATATTGACAAAATGAATGTGTTAGTCATCATGAAAATCTCGGCATAATAATCACACTTCCTATAAAATAACCTGTGAATCATCACATCCAGGCCTATCATACCAATGCATGAGGTATTTCTAACAGGCTGTGAACCTAATCTTATCATCTAAATTGATTTTGTAAAAAAAAAACATATAAGACTGCCTGATAAAGTATTAGGTGTGAATTTTTACGTTGAGATGAAAGAGTGGAATCCAAGGTATCAATGGCTAGTTTATGAATACATTCAAATCAATTTTTTTATGAATCAATCTTAATGGTCTCAGTAGGCCATATTTTTCTATTCGGACAAGCCATGACTTTACCATTTGGTTTAAATTCCATTTATCTCTACTTCGCATCAACAATAGATTCATGTTTTTCGTAATTAATAATAATTTTTATTTGGTTAATTTAGTTTTATGATATGCTTATATTGTGCAATTAATTTTATAAATTTGCTAGGTTTAGGCTCATTTTGATGCTCGATAAAATGTCAGGTTCTTATTTAGTAGACATGTTGACGATTGAATTGTATTTAAATTCAATGATAACTAATATCAAGTTTGAAAAATATCTTTTATAAAGCATTACAATGGATGCCAAGCTCATATGGCTCCATTCTTGGTTTATGTCTCAATACCCGCAAGAGTGGAGCACTTGTGCCCATGCTCTTGTGTCCATGTTTGTCTCTTCCTCACATTCATGCATGTTGCTTTCCAAGATGTCCCATACTAGGGCCTTATATCTGTACAAAAGGGGGTGCGAGGTTCAAACGTCACAGTACACTATCATTTTGCTCATTCCTGATGGTGAATTCATTTTTAGCACGCTTTATTGCTGGGCTGTCTAGGGCTGCTACCTTGCCAACTATTTAATTTGCTAATACTTTTCTCCTCTTTAAACATCTTTAACATTTTCTATTTCAAAACCATTGCTGTTAGTGTATTTATCCCCGCACCAGCCACCCCTTGGGCTTTGGCTAAGCCCCTTTAATCTGGTTACTTTTCTTGTCATCTCCTATTGTGGGTCCACTTCAGGAGCTCCAAAGAGTTGTTTCAATTATAATATTGAGATATTGGCATTAAGTTTATG